CAGGGCAGCAGCATCTAAAGCTTCTCCCACTACCACCCAGGATCAGAGTGGGTTAGGTGTTCCCATTTGAGAATAGTTCATTTCATCTACAAACGCCCTGTACGCTGTCCCTGAAAGGGAAGTGTGAATAACCTATCATCTAGAAAACATAGAGGAGTTATTAGTTTTTTGTCTTTCAAATTGAACCATGTATTATAATTACTCTGAGCACTGCAAACGTATCTCACACACTACTGGGTGAGACTGAATACAAAGTAGAGAACTAATAAGTATGTTTTGGCTATTTTAACAGAACTATTAATAATGATACTTTGTTTTTTAAAAGAAATGGAAAGTACAGGCCATATGCCAAACCAGTCAGGATGCCAGGACAACAGGCATAAGCCAGGATGTCTAGGGCAAACTGGGATATATGACCATTCTAAGATCACATGCGCACAGTGTCACAGCACTGCAGATATGGTAGTGATTAAGTCGGCATTCATCAGTACTAGCAGTATCATTTGACCTGGGCCTTGGACAATGACTAAGAATTTATAGATCTTGAATGTGGGCATAAGTGTTCTAGGAACATGGAAGAGAGTTTGCAAAAGCAGCAGAAATGTGAAAAGACATGCCGTGGTGTTAATGACTGGATGCATGTACATGAATAATTAGGGATGAAGCTGGCAGGTAGTCGGGATGCAGATTGTGAAGGATTTCAATGTAATCCGAAAGTTTTGAGCTTAAGACCATGTGGCAATTAAAGAATTTTAAATAGAGAAGTGATGTCAGGTGGAAATGTAGAAATACTACACTAATGAAGTAAGAGGCTGGTAGACTGTTCCAGAAATGCAGGCAGCAATAATGAGGATAGGGATATAGGCAGGGGCTGGGAGACATCAACGTCTCATGATTAAGGATCCATTTCCTTGAGAATTTTTAAACAGCATTTTTGTATTACCCAGCAGGGGTAGATTCTTAACAGAGAGGTCAAAGACTGAAGAGCACAGAAAACACTGTCAAAATCAACTATTCTGTGGGCAAACGACAGCGCGATACTCAGATGTCCTCCCTGTGGGACTAAAGTGAGACAAGCAGATTACAATTTAAGCAGCAGATAGAGGGGCTGACTGCTGAGACCAAGGACACCACGTAGGACAGCGTGAGGTGCCATGTCAGACTTAAGTAGCTCTGATTAAGCAGAAGTGCCTTGCAGACTATAATACCGAGAAGCATAACGACAGACGGCAAAGAATGAATAGATCGTGGAGTAGAAGACATGAGGCTGCTGATAGTGGCTTGATGATGATTATGAAGTTGGTATGTGACCTACATTTCAGTTTAGTTCACTTTGTACCAAGTTCAGTGAAATACATTTCATGGGTTGCATTTTGTCACTTAAGACTGATCTGCTACTAGGCCAGACTCTTTTCTTTTTTTTCTTTATTATTTGACACTCAATAAACCACAGTTATTTGCTCAGAACAGGAATGCACATGGTGAGGAGAATGAGGATGGAATAAAAGCCTGACAATTAAAATGACACATCATGATTTGGCCACAACTGCCCTGATTTATGCCTGTTGTCCAGCTTAATTTTTAATAGTTTCTCCTTTCACTCTCAAAAAATTACCTTAGATTAGTAAAATAAACTATAGAACCATCCCAAACATGATCTTTGTTCTTTATAAAGATTTAGGGAGACAAAGGAACACTAAATATCTTTGGGGAGCAAATGTCACATAATTCAAATATCTTCAGGACAATGAATTGTTAAACCATTTATTCTCATCTTTATTTGGAAAGAAATCGCAGCTGGTGCCTGGGGCAGGGGCTTGACTATGTTTAATAAAGGAAGGTCAGAAATGTTTTAAAAGAGATATTTTATAAACATTAAAATGTTTAATTAAGAGGTCAGAAAATATTTTTAGAGAGAGGTCTTGGTGCTGAGTCTGTAAGAATGAGCAATACTGAAGCATAAGAGAGCAGACAGGAACTTTTAAAGTGGCAGAAAGTTTAGACACAGAAACAGTACAACGTGCGTGCGTGCGTGTGTGTGTGTACTTGTGAAACTAAGATTTGCCTCACTGAAAGGGAAGGTGCAACTGAGAAATAATTGGTGATAAATATGTTTAGAATATGATCCTTAAAGAACAAATGAATGAATAAACCGATGAGTAACATGAGATAGATTTATCCAGGGAAGAGGACTTTAGCAAGGGCCCTAACAGGGCAAACTGACCTACAAGCCAAATTTGACCTAAAGTAGTGGTTTATTGGCCTATATAGTCTGTTAACATTCCTTTAAGTGTAGTTGTTTTCTTTGAAAATTAGATGACTTTACACAAAATTACCTATTTCAAGTTCCACTTTAACCTGTCTTGCTACAGGACAAAATGACTAAGCGAGGAAGGGCAGCTGTCCCTTGTAAATGGGTTGTCTACACTCCAGCTTTCTCACTCCTCCTTCCTGTTTCACTTGTATGAATCGCCTGCCTTTCAAGTGTGACCTTAGATGTGGTGCTTGGGAGCATAATCAGGAGCACAGCTGATTAAAGAGTAGAACTTCATTGTGACTAATAATATATAAGTAAAAGCTTCCTATTTCCTCTAGCATATTAATACATGTATCTAAATAATAATGACAGCATGCCCAGCCAGCGTGGCTCAGTGGTTGAGAGTCGACCTATGAACCAAGAGGTGACGGTTCAATTCCTGGTCAGGGCGCATGCCTGGATTGTGGGCTTGATCCCCAGTATGGGGTGTGCAGGAGGTAGCTAATCAATGATTCTCTCTCATCATTGATTTTCTCTCTCTCTCTCTCTCTCTCCCTTGCTCCCTTCCTCTCTGAAATCAATAAAAATATATTTAAAAATAAATAATGACAGCACAATAATAATAACTACCAAGCATATGCTATACTCCAGACATAGTGTAGAGTTCCTTTCAAACACAGATGGATTTGAGTCACAGCTCCAGGCATTGATAGCAGTTGACCTTGAACAAATTAACTCACTCTCTAAACCTCTGAGTATTTATTTGGAAAGTGGGTGACGTATCATATGTCATATGGCTTTTGTGAGGATTAAATGAATGAGATCATGTATATAAAACACTTAACATGGTTCTTGACATACAAATAACTCATTCATTAAAATAATATTTTCAAATTTGAAATCTGGGCACTTGTAAAGCTGTGGAAGCATGAGTTACAGAAGACCTACCACCAAGAGACTAATTTTCAATGACTGATGCTTTTCACAATATATTAACCCTCAAAGGATTTTTACTTTAATGGGTAGGTTTTTGGTCTCAGATCAGTAGTACAAATTTCTACGCACCTTAAAAGGATATTATGAGGGCAGGTTTAGTAAAGATCTGGTATTATGCACATTGTTTTGATAACTTTAATATGCCGACAAATATAATAAATATAAAGATGCATTGCTAATTTTACAGAAAAATCTGCACTAAAAATTCCCTGAAACTCATATGAAACAGCCTGTTTCCCTTAACACATGGACTTGGCATTCACAAACACTAGCCTGAGGCATTTATAACATGAGTGTTTTCAGATATTTAATCACAATAACCATTTAAGTGTAAAACATTATATATTACTAACTTAAGGTAAAGGAAAGGAGAACTGTTAGTTTCCAAACTACAATGAGAACTGAAATCGGACAGCAGTCATGAACAGTTCTCTGATAAATTGTCCCTAACTTCAAAAAAAGAGATAACTAGTAGAGAACAAAAGACATAAAAATGAAACATGTTTGGTGTTTTATAATTAGAAGCTATTTCTGTTCAGCAAGTACTCAAAAAATTTCTTATTTTTCATACTTTTTTCAAAAGATATATGAATTTAAATTGCAAATTTACAAATATTGACTCTTCTATACTGATTTACACCTTTCACACAAGCTTGGCTTATATACAATACAAAACAATTGTTTTCTGTTAATTATGTCAAACAACTGTGTTCCTTGAACAAAAAGTCCACCAATTGTTTAAATGTATTAACCAGTCGCTTATCTAAAGCAATATATTTTGTGGAGAGACAAATTTCAAAAGTCCTTCAAGCTTTCTCCATTTTTTCAAAGGATTTCAATTTTACATTTATTCATATAATGATAATAGTGCATTGGGCACCACCTCCTCAATGCCAAGTACTGTGCACATGTAACCATGCTACATCTTAATAACTTATTTATGGTATGAGCATTATTATTCCTATGTGAATTAGAAAACTCAGCCTTGGGTGATAAGGTAAGGTGCCCAGTTAGTAAGGAGCTGGGGTTTAATTCAGGGCCATTTGAAGAATACTGGTTTGCACTCTTTTTATAGATGATCTTGGAAATTTGGATAGATGTCTATTAATAAAAATTTTAAAACAGATACAATGAAAAAATCCATCAGATAATATTTGTAAAGTGACAATGTGTGTTGGCAATATAAAAATAGCAATTAAATTTTTTAAGTTTTCATCTATTTTTTCTCCAGCCACTAAAACAAAATTCCTTTGACAGAACAATACATATTTAGTCATGCATCAATGCCTTGGGAAAAACAACAACACACACATACAGATGAGCAATGGACACAGGTAATTACTTATGCATGGTATTCTCTTGTTATAGGAAATTTTTAATTTAAAAGTAGATCTAAAACTATTTTGTTAAATATATCTGTGAATATAAAATTAAACATTTAAAATTTTTAAAATGTAAATCTATATTGCAAGCTCTTGTAATGTAATTATTTCATTTGCTGAATCATTATAACACCACCTATATTTTAAGGAAAATCGGTTTGCCAATTGAGGATACAGTCTCAACGATGCATATATTGACTCAAAGTTAATTGCATTTCTTTTTTCCAAATATATTTTACTTTAACTGCAGACTAAGAAGATCCAATAAGAACATTTAAAATCATAAACGTTTTGAGCAGTAAAGTTAACAGAACTATTTGAATAGCATTTCTCATTTGCATTTAAGAAATAAAATAGTAACTCACTTGAAAACTGAATTGCAAATCCAGATTTGCTGATATAAAAATCCGTGTCAAACTGGATGGTTACAATATTGAGGGTGCTATGGATTCCTTCAGGAATAAGAGATCCACTAATTTCCTTTAAAAGCATTTCATTTTCTGGTGGACCATCCCAAACTCGGAGTATATCATGTGATGCTTCCGTATCGAAAGCAAGAAACTGTAGGCTGTGGAAGAAACATATATCTGTTTGATAAGTTTAAGTACAAATTCTGTTTTAAATAAAGAATATAACACATATGCATCTTTGCTCTTACTCATTACTAGAGGCCCATTGAATAAAATTTGTGCACTCAGGGGATGGGGGATCCCTCAGCCCAGATTGCAAGAGGGCGCAGGCTAGGCCGAGGAACCCCACCAGTACACAATTGGGGCTGGAGAGGGACGTGGGAAGTTGGCCAGCTGGGGAGGGACTGTGGGAGGGCTCCAGGGTGTGTCTGGCCCATCTTCCTCAGTGCCAATTGGCCAGACCCACACAGCAAGCTAACCTACTGGTTGTAGCGTCTGCCCCCTGGTGGGCAGTGCAAGTCATAGCGAGTAGTTGAGCAGCTGTAGCATTCATTAGCATATTACACTTGGATTGGTTGAATGGATGACCGGACACCTAGCATATTAGCTTTTCAAAATTTAACAGAATATTTAACCATAATAAATTTTTCTTGAACAGTATAATTTATTTCTTTAGAATGATGAAATGTACTATTATATCACCTGGCAAATTATCAACTTTGAGGTATACATTTTTTTCACTGTTCATGAATTTCAACTATGGCCACAGCAGGTGACACTGGTGGAGGATCTGGCACATGCCAGGCACCGTGCAAAATGCATTACATTTTGTTACTGTTGTTGTTGAACTATTATGTCTCTATGAAGCAGGAATAGTTTTTATCTCAATTTTATAAATGTGTCATATGGAGTTTAGATAGATTAAATAAAATGCCAAAGGATGGCAGAGTCATAAATTGAACTAAAGTTTCTTACTCCACAATATATATTTTTACCAATGTTTCAAGTTTGTTTGTTTGTTTGATTAGATTTCAATGAGACTTATTCCACAAATGCAAGAATAATTCACATTTAGAAACCAATCAATATCCTCACAGTGATAGATATAAGAAAAATATAACATAAACATCTCAATATATACAGAGAGAAAAGTATTCTAAAAAATTCAACATTATAATGGTACTCAGCAATCCAGGAGTAAAAGGGAACTTCCTCAATGTAAAAAATAATGTTTACTCACCCTCCAAAAAAAAAGGATGAAAACTAAATAACCTTGTTTTATAATAAATCTAATCTGTTTTATATATAATTTAGACAAAATTAGTATCTGACATTCTGTGACTAGTGCCAAAAATTAGAAATCCAATTTTGTCAACAGTTCAACTCAACTCTTTCAACATATATATCACATTTATGTTTGATATATGAATGGTTGCAACTTTAATTTTGAACAATATCAAGTACTGTTCTTTAATTTAAAAAAGTCCCAGAATCCAGTTGAAATCAATATTTTCAAGTTTTCTAATATTTAAGTAAAACAATGCATTACCTATGCTAAATAAAAATAGTTTGAGAGTCGATCTAGTGTAATCTATTTTGTTCTGCAAACTCCGTTGCAAAAATGACATGCCAGATCATATCCAACAGTATACCAGTTTACATCCAATAATGCATTCAGTATACCTTTCATAACGTTTTTTATTTTTATTTATTTATTTTTTTAAATATATATTTTATTGATTTTTTACAGAGAGGAAGAGAGAGGGATAGAGAGTTAGAAACATCGATGAGAGCAAAACATCAACCAGCTGCCTCCTGCATACTCTCTACTGGGGATGTGCCTGCAACCAAGGGACATGCCCTTGACCAGAATCGAACATGGGACCCTTCAGTCCGCAGCCAGACACTCTATCCGCTGAGCCAAACCGGTTAGGGCTTTCATAATGTTTTTTTAAATGATAATACTTGTTTTCTATAACCACTTGCACCACCAGAAGCCTGTCTGAAATTTCACTATGTAAAAGAATCAATTCCTAGGTTTAAAGTCATTGTTTTGTGAACAATAACACACTGGCTCATTTGTCAAGGACGATTTGTTCATTTACTAATCCCTCCCTAGCCATAACCCAAATACTTAACCTAAGGCTGAGAGCATGTCACAGCCTTGGCAACCTGACTGTTGACATAGGAGTCGATGGTCTGCTCTCATCTAAAGGGCCATGATGTGAAGAATTGTCACCCACCCCTCTATCCTCAGCAGAAAGAGGAATCGAGCCTGGGTAAAGGGGCAGAGAGCAGGTGCTCCGGACATGCTAAAGCCATGGAAGACAAGGAGTACATACTTACTGAGTCCCGCTTCTATTCTTAGTTTTTCTAAATGTTTGTGAGGCTAAATTTATGATGGTGACCAGGACAATTTTGTATACCTATCAAAATGGTAGACTCAGTTTTTTGAGTCTTCAAGAATTAAATGTGTAGCCAGGCAGCCAGGCAGGGTGGCTCAGTTGTCTGGGGGTCCTCTCATGCACCGAAAGGTTGCTGGTTTGATTCCCAGTCAGGGCACATGCCTAGGCTGTGGGTTTGATCCCCAGTTGAAAAGTGTACAGAAGGCAACTGTTTTCTCTCTCTCTCTCTCTCTCTCTCTCTCTCTCTCTCTCTGCCCCCCCCCCACCTCTCTAGGCATGTCCTCAGGGGAAAATTAAAAACAAAAGAATTAAGTGAGCAAAGTGCCAAGAAGCAGAATAATTTCTCTTCCTCTGTGCCCTCTTATAAATATGAGAAGCGTCTTTCTATGGGGTTATATCAGCTACCACTGTGGCCCATAAATCAATAAACCATTCTTATTAATACTTTTATTTTTCATATATTTAACAGATAAAATCTAAGTTTTTCCTTACCAAGGTTAAAAATCTTGAAAAATGTTGATTGATATTATACTTAGGGGCTCATCAGGGAATCCAGATCCTCTAATCATTTTAAGAAAACAAAATCCATTTACCTGACAATGTTTCCTGGATCCACTTCAATCATCCACATGCAACGCAGATTATTGTCATATGGAAAGGGGTAACCGGGAGATAAGATTCTTCCTGATGATTCTCCTTTGAAACGACCTCCACATTCAGCTAATAAATAAGAAGATGGAAATTTAACTCACAGCTTAATGCCAGTCTTTTGAAAACAATCTGCGAATTTTACTATGATACCTAGTACCTTAAGAAAAATAAGAATTGATCCGCCCCTTTTCTTCAAAGTATATATTTGTATATGCTTTCTCAGAGTAAGGTATTAATTGAAGAAAGAACATATTGCACAATAAAGCAAGAGTGTCGAGTTAGATCACATAAAAAATAATGGAATGAATGCAATTCGGGATTTTAAAAAAAGAGAGACACACTCAAAAACTCTAAGTTTAGGATTCCAAACATTTTAAGATGTGTTGTTAAATAATGACAATTTAAAAAGGAGAAACAGATGGCGAGTTGCTTAGTGCTCGTTGGTTGCAGGCTGAATAATTCATCATCTTGCTAACCCACCTCTGAGAAAAACTAATCTTTACTGTAGTCCCTCAGGCCTTCTAAATTTCATTGTCCTTTTATTCCCCTTTAAATCACTCTAAACACTTTCACTTTAACCTCCCAAAAGCCAAAGCATCATTTTTATTAGAGATTTCTTACTTCAGTTAAATTTAGTTTGGTTTTGATTGAATGTAATCTCTAATTTTTATAAAATTCATCAAGTTAAAATGTGTAAATATTGTCATATATTCTAATGAGATTTTTATCTTTTGGGGAATTCCCTCTCCATTTTAATACTTTTTTAACATACAGGGATGCCTGGTGTAGTCTTAATTCCAGAAATAACTGTATTGAAGAAGAGAAAACTAAGTATTTTAGTCATATATTATAAATTTAAAAATTCTCCAAATTATTTCCTACTAAAAAGTAACCCAAACAAAGCTTGCTAGTTGCATAAATATTTGAAGAAACTTTTATATTTTCCTTGTTGTTATCTTACTCAAATTCAATGGCTGAATTAATCTTCTTTTTTTTTTTTTTAAGGCAAAGGTCAAAGATAGAGTTTTAGCATTTGGGAGACATCTTAGAACAGAACCTAATGGTTCAAATTTGCAGGCTCTACTCATATAAGTGTATTTGTTGCAAAGATTTTAGATATATTTCACTGTACTGTGATGGTTAGTTTCTTGTGGTAACTTGGCTAGGTTTACAAGAGCCAGCTATCTAATCAAACACTAGCCTAGGTGCTGCTGTGAAGTTATTTCATCAATGTGGTTACCATCTGCAATCAATTTACTTTAAGTAAAGGAGATTACCTTTGATATTGTGTTTGATAATGTTGTTGGCCCTCATCTAATCAATTGGAAGGCCTTTTGAGCAAAAACTGAATTTTCTAGAAAAGAACTTCTCCCTGCAGTCTAAACTCCTGCCTGACCTTCCAGCCTTTTGGCCTTTCCTATAGATTTTGGATTTGTCAGCCACCACAATTGCTTGAATCAATTCCCTAAAGTGAATCTCTTTAGAAAGACAGATTATAGATAGGTAGGTAGATAGACAGATCAATTGATCTAGATCTAGTATTCTATTGATTCTGTTTTTCTAGAGGGATTGACACATTCATAGAGGACTAGCAGTTTTTTGTATTGCAACAATTCAATCTAATTTATATTGGGATTAATTTTTTAATAGTTTGTAATTTACTTATTATTACTAGTATTTATTTTTTTTAGTTAAGTTTTATTGATTTGAGAGAGAGAGAAAAGGAGAGAGGGAGAGAGATAGAAACATCGACCAACTGACTCCTGCACACCCCCTACTGGGAATTCGAGGCTGCAACCCAGGCACATGCCCTGACCAGGAATCAAACCAGTGACCTCTTCGTTCATGGACTGGTGCTCAACCACTGAGCCACTGGCTAGGATGTTATTATTTTTTAAAATATGTTTTTATTTTTTATTTTTTTAAATATATTTTAATGATTTTTTACAGAGAGGAAGAAAGAGGGATAGACAGAAACATGCGTTGGCTAAGTCCTTGGGCCCTGACAGGGACTGGAACCTGACCTCCTGGTTCATAGGTCAATATTCAACCACTGAGCAACACCAGCCAGGCAGCAATTTATCATTTTTAAGTAAATAAGAAGATATCAGTATTCAAGATGTCACTATCACTTGTGGTATTTCTAATATTTTAAACAAAAACTTTATTGAACAACTAGAACTGTATACCTATATTAATTCATTTTCATCATTTTTATGATTTATCAATATTGGCATATACTTATTATGCAAACAAACTTTATTCTTCATATTTTTCCGATGAATGTTTAACCAATTACAGGCTAAATTGGAGTTATGTGCACTATGTTGTATCTTGCATTTAAACATAACTTCTTTTTATCTCCATTTTTCTTTACTTAGTATTTTGACTTCAAATGAGCCGGGGTGGTATGTTATAGTGCTAGAATTCATTTCTGTGAGGAGACTTATGTTTGCAGGATAACAATGAAATAGTATTTAAAGAAAGTATACTGCTTTAAAAATTAATTTTTATTTGATCAAAGTATAAGTTTCAGAAATGTAATTACCCATGTATTAGAGAAAAAGTTTTATTTGCTTGAGGAAAAAATATAGCCATATAAATATTTAATATTAATAAGCACAGAAAATTATAATCTTAGGCCAGGTGGTAAAGCTATCAATTGTTGCCAACAGAGAACACTATCCAAAACAGAATTTCATCTTCTGTTATCATGGAAATCATCACCCATGTGCCCAACTGTTTTCAGCTGTTATTCCTGATCATCTCTCATTGAAAAAATAAATAAATAAACATTACCCTTCTCATGAGATCTTGAGCAGTATTAAGTCACTAAGTTTGTCTTGGGATATTTTATATAAAGTGCATTGATTCACTGCAAACATAATTAAAATCTTCTGATCTCAGACCAAATGTTTTTCTATTTGCATAAAATACTCCAAAAAATAAAGAATATTTTCAGCTTGGATCAATACATATTAAAAAACATATGGTTTTTAATGTATTTGTTTTGTGAATTTAATTTTCAAGACAGCATGCAAGTCAGTGTTTGCAAGTTTATAGTTTTATGTTATTGTAACCTTTAATGATTTTCTAAATATATTTCCTGTACACATCAAAGAATATAACCTAGAGAGAATTAATCAATGCTACATTTTTCTCATAACCACTGCCAGTGGGCAGTTTATTGGTCATATTCCAGAATCCTAAGCTTAATCAATTTAGGTTGATTATTATTATAGATATTATCCTCATAATCTATCCAAAATTCAGTTGCTGTCTGAAAAGAAAGGACTGAAAATGCATTTTGGTTGGATTAAAAACATGTTTGCTTTCTGCATGAATCTGTTTTCAAAATCCAATAGAGGTCTCAGGGCATCAAAAACACTGCAGTTAGCCACGAGGCCTCTAATGACTAAAATTCTATTTTTTAATAGTTTGTATTCTAGCAAATGTTGTGGAGATTCATATGTTGACCATACCAACTAACAAAGATTAAACCTTGTCTCAGTAGGTCCTCAAACCATATACATTAAATATGTGCATTTTTTTGGGATATTAATTAACCTTAATAAAACTATTTTAGAAAAATATTTTGGCCAATTTAATACATACGGACATGTGACGGAAGGAACCTGTGCCTCCGTAAACACCATTACAAAATAAGAATGACTAAAGAATCAGTGCATGTTTGTTCCCTACTAAGCAGTCAGTGTTTTGTTAAAATGTTGGTTTTTTGTTGTTGCCCTAAAAATCCAACCTGGGATATATCTGATTTTGTGGGGAGGTAGGGGGAGTAGTGGTCTTTACAATACTTTTCTATCCACCCTCCCACCCACACATACCCAATATTCATTATTGAGCTATCAGATAGTAGAGAATGCTTATTGTCTAGCTTCATGTAAACTATATATCTGATATCACTCAGGAGAATCTTATGGAAATTGGTTAATTATATTATGCTGCATACACATTTTAAAAAGCATATGGACTTCCATAGATTTCTGAAAAGTTGAGTATATAAACAAAGCCTTTTTCAGTTATTGATAATTAGTTTATTGTTTTTAATCACCTTCATAGCAGTACAGGCAATCATTTTTTTTATTAAAACTAAAGGCCTGGTGCACAGGATTTGTACACTGGTGGGGGGCATGGCCTGTGGGGATCAACCCGCTGTGCAAGTGCTGTTCATCCCAGTCAGCCCAGCGGTGTTCCCACTGTGGGAGCATACTGACCACCAGGGGGCAGCTCCTGCACTGAGCGTCTGCCCCCTGGTGGTCAGTGTGCATCATAGCGACTGGTCAACTGGTTGTTCTGGTCATTCCACCATTTGGTCGCTGGGCTTTTATTATATAGGATAAATATGTACAATGTGATTGAATTATATGGTTAAGAATCTTAACACATTTCTGTAGTGTGTTAAATTTTACCAAGATAGGAACAATAAAGACTAAAATTAAAATTAAATTTTTTGATGCTACATTGCATCAAAAAATACTCATAAAAATTATTAAAAGAAGCCCTTCACTTTCCATTAATGTCCTTCTGACAAATTTTAGTTCATTAACTTCATTTTTTTTTTTTTTTAGGTTTTGAAAATAGTGTATTTCTTACTAATATATTTTTTAAAATTTTTATTAGCTATATTAGGGTAACACTGGCTAATAACCTGACATTAATTTCATGTATACAACTTTATAGTTCTATACTCTATGATAATATGGATGGATCTTATGGAATGAGTTAGGCAAAAAAAAAGATAAGAACTGTCCGGCTGACATAGCTCAGTGGTTGAGCTTTGACCTATGAACCAGGAGGTCACAGTTGGATTCTTGATCAGGGCATATGCCCAGGTTGCAGGCTTGGTCCCGTGTGGGGGCTGCAGAAGGCAGCCAATCAATGATTCTCTTTCATCATTGATGTTTCTATCACGCTCTCCCTCTCCCTCTCCCTCTCCCTGAAATCAATAAAAATCTATTTAAAAAAATACTTTTTCACTCATATGTGAATATAAAATAAAAATCAACAAATGAATAAGCAAAACAAACATATAAAGAAACAAAAAAAAGCAAACAACAAACTCATAGATACAGACAAGAGAATGGTGGTTCTCAGAGGAGAAAAAAGGGTAAAGGGAGGACAAAGAGCGTAAATGGGGTCAACTACACGGTGACTGATGGAGACTAGACTGCGGGCGGGGAGCACATGTTAACTTCTTGACTTAAGGTATGAGTTGTGTGTAGACAGATGGAATCACTTGAAAAACTATAGTGTATTCTGGTAACACTTCTATAGAAATATTTCCTGACAATCTAAACGAGTCTCCTACCAATACAGGAAGGCAGAGGGTAGTCCCATGCCCTTCTCTCCCCAGTCATGCACTTGAGAAGGCTACTTCCATGGAGAGTGTAGCCGGGATTGCATCCATAAATGATAGTGCTACCGGCAAAGTGGCCTTGGTCACTGATCTTGTATCCAAATTGTGGAATGCCAGGGTCTTCACAATGTGAAAGTTCAAAACCTGCGAGAAGAACATAAATTTATTAAAGGTGAAATTTAACAGAAAAAATTAAAACTCTACAAATCATGTATTCCTATAATTTTCATACAGTTACGTTCCCTTACTCAGTTGTATTCTCTTTCCTACTTATAATACTCTTTCCACATTTAATTTTGATATTAGGCAGCAGCCAAAAAGAGTTTTTACATTTTTTAAAATAAGAATTTATTTATTTTTTGTATTTTTCAAATGATTCCCATGGTCTATATGACTATATCATGGCTTGTTTTAGTACTAAGCTGCTTGCATGCTTTAAGTGATTTACAGCTAATAATAGATTCTGGCCATTATAACTACTACATCAAAATTTAAAACATAAAATTTATGTGAAATCATAATTGTCCAAGTAACAAATATGTCCACTGCAAATATAAATTGAGACTCTTTACTGCTATAGTCTTAGAACATGAAATAGTTTTGTATTTAAAATATACTTTATAAAAAAAAACCTAATAGTAATTAGACTGAAGAACCCTGAATTGTTATATTCTGCCTTCTCCAGAAATTTACAGCTCTGAAAAAATTCTCACAGGGAAATAAGCCCCCAAACACATATTATTCTTCCTACATGTTGTCACTCTGGGGTGAAAAGAAAATATTTTTGTGATTCTGCAGAGTTTGGGCTTCTTGCATTAATTTTACTGGAAAGTTGGGACCCTGGGGCCAGAGCAAGCCTTAATAAGTTATTTTACAACTATAACATTAGTAAGAGAATTCGAGAGAGGTTTCCCTAACTTTGGAGGAGGTTTGTGTTTTTACTTGAAGGGAAAACAAGGCCAGGGCCTGAGGGACATCTTCAGATGACAAAAACTGCATGCACAAGAGGCTAATCTGGCCTCTGGAGAGATGTCTTTACTTTGCAAAGGTTAGAATAAAAAGCCAGAGTCCGTCCTATCCATCTCAGAGAAGCAAAGGTTTTCCTCTCTCCTTTCCAGACAGGAGGGCGAGACAACTACTTTAAACGGAGAAAGCCTATTTTTCTTCATCCCTTGCCTCTGTCCACTCGTGTAGATTTTTCTATCTGATTTTCATCTTGTTACTACAAGGTGAAGGGCCGGGTCAAAGGGGGCTACACGGTTATTGTTATTATGATTATATTACCTTAATGATAATTTGATCTCTCAAGATCCAGAAGACCTTGGGTATAATTCAGAATAAAATTAAGAAAGATGGATATTAAAAACCTAACAATCAGAGCACAATAAACTGTTAAGATTCTGAAATAACTAGAAGATACTTCGTAATTTAAACCAAACATAACACTAGTAATCAAAACATATTTCCAACACCCTATGGAGTTCTCTATCTCTAATGTTTTACAAAAAGAAGATAATTAGGTGCAAAATTATCCAAGTTCTGACTTCTGAGACTAGAGAATGAAAAAGAATATCCAGATAGCGTCATGTATGAGGGAAATCTGTGATTTTAACACAAAAATGTTGGAGATAAGGAAAACATTTGTGTCTTAAGTTATATAATAAAAAGATTTGCATCTCTTTTATAGGCACAGATCCTTGACCAAATTAGTATAGAAACTAGAAAGTAAAATTTACATCATTGGCTTTTTTACAGTATCAAAACATACATAAAATCACCAAAACTTGTAAGCTGGAAATAATGTGTTTAAACTATAATTTCTGTGTGTTGAGGGATATATTTGCTCTTGGAGAACAAAAGGATCCTTTCCTAGTCTCTTTTAGGGGTTCTTAATCATTCCCTCCTCAGTTAACTGATAGAATTGCTCTGCATATTTCAATTCATTTACAATCACTGCTTCTTATGTTTGTTTCCCTACCAACTAGAATGATTTGATGACTTTTTCTTTCTCACAATGCCCACCAAGCACAAATCCTGGCACATAGCAGATGCTCAATAATGCTCCTGGATGACTTCGGATTTTTAAAGGCAATTACTTCTGGGGAACAACTAAAAAAATACCTAAAATAATTCTAATGAGAAACTGAAGGTAATGAGACGATTAAAAAAATGCATCTTCAGAAATTTCCCTTACGGATCAATTTGTGACAGCCCAATTTGGGTAAAAATATGTTAAGGAAAATTCAAACAGCTTCAGTGACAGAGCTAGACGTTAATCCAAATGATGACATATTATTTATATATGTATATATACATACAAATACATACATGCATATACATGTATATATATTATACTTTATATACATATTTATATATATATAACAAGGTATAAAGGATACATGTTCTAGCAAGTCAGTCTTTTAAACACAGAAGTAGAAAAAGCAGAAGTTGTAACTGTAAAATTTCAGAACATTAATTTGCATACTTGATACTATTTTTACTTACTATTTTTTTCTTTATATAATGCTCTCCAGTTCCATCCATGCTGTTGCAAATGGTAGGAGTTCCTTTCTTTTTTATAGCAGCGCAGTATTCCACCATGTAGATATACCATAGTTTTTAATCCACTCATCTGCTGATGGGCACTTAGGCTGTTTCCAAATCTTAGTTATGGTGAATTGTGCTGCTATGAACATAGGGGTGCATATATCCTTTCTGATTGGTGTTTCTAGCTTCTCGGGATATATTCCTAGAAGTGGGATCACTGGGTCAAATGGGAGTTCCATTTTTAGTTTTGATGAGCATTTATAACATTTCCAATCACTACGGTTACAGAAGGGCTGTGCTTCTATGTAGCCTTCCAAAAGTATGTGAGTGTGTTTCTATAGGTTATGCCCCATGTCCGGATCCACTTTGTCCCTAAGATTCATTCAAAGTTTGCTAATCTACTATTCAACATTTGCCTTGACTTACTGAAAGGTAAATAGTTGAATCCCTACCTCAACATAATTTCTTTTCAATTTATCAGGAACAACAACTGTGTATTCACATAGGGACATGTCATGTCTGGTCAGAAAAACAGAGCCAATGCTGCAATAAGGCAGAAGGCTTAGAGATATATGATATCTGAAAATTCACTTTTCGAATGTAAGTAGCATTTTTGATGTAACTTAAAATAAAAAGACCCTTATGTGTGTGTGTGTGTGTTTTCATCAGAGTTTTTAGCTTATAGAAGTTATGACTTTAAACAAACAAACAAAAAGATTATGGAAATGACCGCTATTCATTCCACCTGGAGAAACAGGTGGAATGCAAAGAATACATATTTTTAAACTGCCAGTGCTCTAAATTCTACGTATAAAGTCTGAAAAAAGTGCTGCTTTGTGTATTGTACATCATACATTTGTACATCATTCTGGAATGGTGGGGTTCCGCATTTCCTGATTTTTTTATTTTATTTTTTTTTTGCAATCAGCCATTTGGTATTTGGCCAAATGTAAAAATGGTGTACTCTAATTATATCTTGGAACGGAATTTAATGAGATATTGCCAAATTACTCTTCTAGGTGGCTTTACCAAAGGTAAAAGAGGTTCAAGCTCTTCAAACTGTCATCAACACTTGGTATTGTGCACCTTTTTAATTTTTACCAATTTTATGAATGTGCGATAGCATATTATTTAATGTTTACTCTTCATTTCTTAATTTTTATTATGCATTTGACTTATTGGCCACTGGAGTTTCTTCTGTGAAATTTTCTTTTAGAATTTTTTTTTCTTATTGACTTGTAGGATTCTTTCTATACAGTGTATATATATATTAGCTCCCAATATACATATATAATACCTCCTAAACTGTCTCATCTTTTTAGTTTTTTAATGGTATGTTTGTTATAGAAAATTTAAAAAAAAATAATGACTGGGGCTTGGTCAGTAAAGCAGAGTTGCTAAGATTCAATATAAAAACAATTAGAGGGAAAGTATAAGACATGTGAGGGAGTGGAGGTCAGAGGAGCACTGCTGGCTTTCAGGAAATCTAGTTCTGGGAAGCTGCTGCCACACACGCCCAGGTGCCAGCAACACAATCCAGCTGGAAGACGCTCGTGGAAAATAATGGCTTCTCCACTGATCCCACCTTTCCGCTCTCAGGGGACTGCCTTTAATTGGCAGATTCCAAGCAGAGATCTTCGCTGGAAAGAACCTGGCAAATGTACTGCCAGGTTTTTAATCTCTGCACTTAGGATGTGCTTAGAAAGACAAGGATGGACAGACTTTTACCTGTATATTTTGTTTTAGAAAACTTTCTCCTACTTAAAGACATAGTTATTCTAGGTGACAGTTTTTTTTCTAAACATTGTAAAGTTTTGATGTTCATATATGTCTCTAATCTGCCAGACATTAACTTTTATGTAAACAGTAAATTTGTAGGACTTTAAATATTTATGTTTAAGATTAACAGAACGTTTTGGGATGTGAAGGCTATACAAATGGTAATGTCTCCTTTGTTATTCCAGTATGAAGCGAGTACATCCAATATTGTCTGTAAATTGATAATCAAGACATATTTCTTTGATATTTTAGTTAAAATATATTATACTACACAATGCAGCATAGATCAATACTTCCTTTATTACTTGGTTAATTTCAAGATTTAAAGAATAAAGGAAATGCCAAAAATATCTGTCTTAAGTGGTTTATAGGACATAGGAATACATGGAATAATTTTGTTGCTCTTTTATAATTTAATTATTTTCTACTTGCATTTGCATTAAATAAGTTATACACTAAGAATAAAATTAGAGTTAATAGGTCATCTGATTATTTTTCACAGTTAACATTGCCAACAACATACTGTAATGAATTTAAAGAGTTTAAACAGTGTAATTTCTTACATATGTATAAGGCTAGTACACAAGAAAGGCATCAAACATTCGCTAATGCCCATCTTTAATTTGAATATAAAATTTTAAATGGCCATGTTCTGTGTAGATTATTGAATCATTTCAAGCAACAACAAACAACAACAAACAATAAGAACAAAAGCCTGGAAGGCTAAGAGAGTTCAAATATAGCTGAACTTTTCTCTTGTAATAACACATATGTCTCAGGCATTTTAGTAAATTTAATGTACAGAAGTGATAACAAGG